ATTTCTTTCAACTTTATTTGAAAAAAATCCTATGACTAAGTTCCTTCCTAAAATGAACAGTTCTACTGATAACAGATAAATAATGCCTATGTAGTAAAAAGAATACATAACTGAGAAGAAGATGAGGGCTCTAATTCTGACACTAACTTAGCTGTCAAACCTTGCACAAATCACTTAACCTTTGCGGATTGTATTCCCTTATCCAAAATAGGAATTAAATAATCTCTAAGGGGGCTGGGGATTTAGCTCAGCGGCAAAAGCGCCTGCTTGGCAAGCACAAGGTCGTGAGTTCGGTTCCCGGTACCGGAGAAAAACCAAAAAAAAAAAAAAAAAAAAAATCTCTAAGGATCCTTCAAGCTCTAAGATTTTATTAATTTTATAGACAAGCAAATAAAATGCTGAGCATGTTGAATAGACTTAGCTACTGCCTTTAGGAAGAACTCACACACTCGAAATAGTACTTGGTTTAGTCATATGCATATGAGTGCAAGTACATGTATAAATTTGAAGATTCTGGCCAATTTTATTATACTGTGTAACTCACAAAACACAGATCTAGTGCTTGATAAACACTAACTACAGGTTACTGTATTGGTACCCCTGAAAGACTAAGCAAACAGCAACTGACTCCTTAGCTAAACAGAAGGACCACCTAATTAGTGAAGTACAGAGGGTATATTTCCGTTACTGTTTATCTATATCTATGAAATTTGCAAGACACATTTTATACCTCAATTCTCAGCATTCTTCATTTAGGTTGATAAAAACGTTACATGTCTAGAATGAGCCTTACTAGTAGTAAAGGACATTGCATATACTTTGTGACTCCAAAATACTCTCATAAAATTATTGAAAGAATATGGTTTCCAATGATTTACACTAACAAAGCACATAAAGATTTCTAAAAATTAACAAATACAAACTGAATGCATGCTAAAGTTTAACACTTGATTGCAAAACATGAACTTTTAAAAAAATGACTAAAACCACTGAATTAAATTAACTGCACACTTATGAATATTGTGTTACCATAGTTAGTCCTTAAAAAGATTCAGCACATAAAACCCCCCCCAGAAAACAACATGAAAAATTTGGGTTGACAAAGTCTTCACATCTGTATAAAGCTAGTAGTACTATCTGTGCCCAAATGAAGTGCAAGTGACCAAAATAAAAGAAGTTAGTGGTTACAAAAGCAAAATCCATGCTAGTTTGAAGTGTTCTTGGATACCAGTTACTCCACAAGGGAGCTATACAAGTTAATGTCATTTCACAACAGGACTATACCTGATCTTACCCCAATTATGAGAGCAGTAGAGTCTCAGTAAAGCAAAGCCAGTGATTCTTAAACTGTCTCTTTCTTTGGTTACTAATACAAAGAAAATGTTCAGCTGAATTTACAAAGGACTATTTTGTCTGTGAAAAGGCTTGCAGGAAGATTTTCTAATGGCTTAGTGCAGCTCTTGAGGGGCTGGGAGTGGGAAAGTGTGAACTGGGTGAGTCCATATAAATATATACATATTTATGAGTTCATAATAAGATGCATTCAAGGACGGCTAACAGAATGTTATCTGGTAAATACCTCAGGATAGAGGGATTTCAAATGAACTTTAATTTCTCTTTAGATAATGCTCAGATTATTTTCAACAAAAAATCATTACTCATGCTCAACACAGAAGGAAAAATAAGGAAAAGCTGATGATTACAACCACCAAAGACTACAGGTAGTGAAGGAAAAGGATTCCAGGCAGATAAACATGGCCAGATTCTTTAGGAAGACAGGGTATCAACCCCACAGTATGATGTGGCTACTGAGAGATGAGAAGAATCAGGAGTCAGGAGAGCGAAACTGAAAAACCGAAGTGAATTTCGTGTTTGAATGAAAACTGCCAGAGCTTAGCACGTGAGTCTCCTGGCTCCAGCACACAAGGGCAGTTATCAACCTGGGCAGCATGGTATTTCACATAATTGGTTTACTTGGTTTGCACATTAAAAAGAAAAACATTAACTTCACAAAGAAGTCACAGATCAGGGACTGAAAAGACAGAGAAGGACAAAATTCCTGTTTTAATTGTGATTTTACAAGGCAGACTTTGTAGAAGCTTCATTTCATATTCCTGGGGGAGGGGAGAAGGAGTACTACATGTTAGATTGGATTATTCAGAAAAGATAGTTCCATGTCAGTCTTTTATGTGGAGATTCCCAGTTCAAATTCAGTGGTGACAGATGTGGAAAATAAGGTTTTTAGGCCTAATTAAGGCCATAATGAAGACTGATCCATTAAGACTAGTTAATACTCTGTGAGAGAACCCAGAAGGTATGCTCTCTATGTGTATGTATATGATAGTTTAGAGTTCTCTTAAAATGGTTAAAATAAATCAAAATTGAAAGAGGTTAAGTTTCAGTTACTGAGAAAATTAAGTTAAATATAATGCTAACTAATGGAAGCACTGCTTTCCTAATACTAGTACTTGAATGGTTCATAAGTACTGCAGGTCAAGGAAATTACTAATTGATTTGATTTTGTTTGAATTATAAAAACCAAAACAATTCTAATTTTTAAAAATTGATTCAGCATATTATACAACCAGTTTAAACTGTAACTTCTCTATTTAACTCCCGAACTCAGACTGTTAAATTCTTTTCTACATTCAAACAATTTCAGGTCCTGGGATGTTAGGTCCATGGCTCCTACTTGCTCTGGAGTGGGCCCTGACATTCCAGTGTCAGGCTAACCTGGCCCCTCTCTGACTGTGCCTTTAGTAAGCTAGTCCTTTCCATGAGTGCCCTTCTGGCTCTGGAGCATGGTGACAAAGGAGTGCAGTGTCTGCTGTGTACCTTTCCTGCGGGAAGATTCTGAGCATATCAGCCCTGCCATTCACTTCCTTTGCGCTCATGGAGACATTCATTCAGCAAACTCTCACAGCATTAGTTTACTCTCTGTACCCTGGAGACAGTATCACCAACAATGAGAAGTAATAAATGTAAGGACCTAGTACATGGTCTGTCTGGCATGAAAACAGCCCCTGAGTGTGCTGGGAAGACAGAGAAAATGGGTAAATGGAGTTCCTGCCCTATGTACTTATAGCAAGGAAAATAAAAATGTTGGCATGTTAGAAAAGCAAATCTATCTTATGCATGAGCACAAATGCTAAGATAACATATCTCATTTCCTCAGTCAGGCCTCGTCTGTACTATTTAATACCAGGGTCCACTCAGAAAGTCAGAATACTCAGCTTGCAGCTGCTGATTTATTGATCCAGTAACAGTGGAAAGTCTGAGTAAAATTTAAACCCAATGATGCTCATATTCATTAGTGAATTATCTCCTGCACTGTTAGATTCTTCATAATCCAAAAGCATGTTTTGTTTAGAAGGGCAAGAGTAATCATTACTACTGTATCCTAAGTCTAGTTAGTAGTTACTGATAAACTGTACCCAGAGGAACAGTATTTTAGAAAAGATAAAAACCACATAGAGTTTGGAGTCTGCGATGAAAACAGTTATCAGCACAGTAATAGGAAATATTAATACTGTGTGCAGCATAAGGGCAGTGTAATTAACAATCACTATAGAATAATAAGCCATTGTTATTATTTGAGAAGAAAATAATTACAAGGACAGTGAATAAAGAATATAGCTGGAATTGAACCAGATTGTAAAAATTTCATTTTTTTAAAAAAAGAGAAAAATGATTGATTCATAAAAATAATTCTGTATTTTTGATTAACAATTATCAGAAACCATTATTTCTTATGAAATCATAAATTCAAATATAACTGTGTAACAACCCTTTTGGGTCCTTCTGAAAAAATGTTAATGTAAATTAACAGTGCTTCTATGAGTAGAAGAGAAGCAAATGTCCTTTCACTCTGCTGCCTTTTAACATTCACTTTAAACTCATCCTTAATGTGACTCTTAAGGCACTGAGGCTGATGCATCAGGGTCAGAAGCTCTGGGCTCCTCCTGTCCTAACTATACCACTAGCTGTCAGGCCAAGGACAGACCAATTAACTCAGCAGGAGCACTGTCAGTAAACGAATTCCTATCCTGCTCAGTCAGAAAGTTCAATGAGATAATATACATAACCTTTGAAAACTACAAGATGCCAAACAAAAGGAAAGGATTAGTAGCGATTGTGGCCCAAGACAGCACTCTCACAAAACCTGCACAGTGCATGTGTCTGCGTGTACAACTGTGTGCATGTGAGGATCCAAAGGAAAATGAAAACTTTCAAATACTAACAATTTGTTACAGTGACCCTTGTCTGAGCAGCAGTTCAATTCTCAAAATTGAGCTATTTTCTTGCAGAGACTCACAGTCTTTACAATAGCTCTAAGAAGCAGAAACAAAATGTGACCTTTCTCATTTTAAATACAAGATGCCTGATTATTAAAGAAAGGAAATAACTTGGCCCAAATGAAACAAGTATGTGGTCCTGTGGTATGGGTTCTTAACCACTGGAAAATACCTAACAATGTCAGGCAGCGAATGGAGACATCAGGGTCTTTCTGATCTCCATGGCACCCCAGGGATATCTGAGCTATGTGGAGAGCTGCGTGGTTTCCATGGACTGTCCATTAAGACACCAGTAAGCCATCTTTGAATTTGGAGGACACAAAAGAGGCCTTACCCATCAGTATGAAAAAAATAATGCCCAAAGACTACATCTTTATAAAGAGTAACTGGCAACGAGGAATTGGAAACTTTAAAATATTCAGTATTCTTTGGCTGTCCGTATTCCAACTGAATCCAACTGTCCTTATCAGTTCAATCCTTATTAGGTGGAAGTCATATGAAAATTAAAAAACATTCTTTATGCACGTAAAAGTTTTACTAAATGTCAATGAGATGTAGATGATAAATGAAGAATTTCACAGTGGAAAATAAAAGGTAGACTCAAAGACACACTGTTTTTAACCATCAACTTAAAAAAAAGGCCACTCTCATCATAAAAGCTTAGTACTGTCGTAAAATATACCCCCCAAGTGTAAATAAACTTACCTTTGGTTTTTTGATCAGCAGCCTGGAAAAAAAAATCAGAAAGTCTTTAGGAAAAATAATGTGTAGATGTACACATATATGAAAGTTTATAAGCAGACTTTTAATATTAGAAATTTTAAAAACGAGTTTTTGTCCAGTTAATTTGTTATAATTTATTCTGGGAAAAACATTTCTATATGCTACTGAAAACGTGCCAATATTAATGTAAAGGCAAAAAATTCTGTATTGAAGCTCATTGGAGTTCTCTATTTTAATACAGTCTAAAAGATACACAATTTAAACCACAAGATACATTAACATAGCAAGAATGAAGACAAATGATATAATTTGGCAGTTTACTCATTTAATTTTTTTGTGGTACTGGGGATTGAATTCAGAGTGTTGAGCTATAGTCCCAGCCTTTTATTATTATTATTATTATTATTATTATTATTATTATTATTATTTTATTATTTTTTAAATTTTGAGACAGGGTCTTACTAACTTGCCCAGGCTGGCCTTGAACTTGCAATCTTCCTGCCTTAGCCTCCTGAGTAGGTAGGATTACAGACCTGCATCACGGAGTCCAGCTTAAGAAACATGACTACAAGTTTATCAAACTTTTTATTTTTAAAATTTACTAACAGGATTTGTAAAAGGACATTTGGCAAGACTGTAAAAATTGTATCTAGCTTTTCTACTAATACCAGTTTAATGTTCCTTTCCTTCTTTCTTAGACAACTCGGTTCACTTTAAGTAGACTGGCAAGGTCAACATTTATCCCCAGCAACATGAAGCTTCTTGAAACACAGCTGTAATGTTCTAGTTCTTTAGAAAAGACATTTTGCAGCTGTCACCCAGTATTTATTTCACTAGCACAACATCTATTATTTGTTAAATACAGATTTAGCATATTGATTTAAAAGAATAATACTGCAGAATGAAACTTGGTCAGGGTAATGGCTATGATAATGCAAATGAGACACCTAATGACTGCAAGGACAATGAAGCTAGTAACTCTAGCCAAACCTTTTTCTGAGCACCTTCTTTCTTTTTCTTTTCTTCCTGCTTTTTCTTTTTCTTTTCTTCCATCAAATGTTCCTCTTCTCGTGTTTCTTGTTCTTTCTCCCTATTAAATATAAAGAAAACTGGTATTAGTATGGCAGTCATTCTTAAATTAAAAAATGAAAAAAGTACTAGCTATAGAAAGTCTTGAGGCAGGCAGGTCACCTCTGGGATAGAGTCCACTTTGAGCGGATGTCAGAAATGGCCATTTACCCCACAGTACCAGATGCACATCCCTACTACTACAGCAAGTTGCCTGCCTCTTTTAGTGTGTCAGGTGTCTCATTCCCTGAGCCCACATTTGTCAGGCACCACCTTATCACCAGGCACTTATTAGGGATATGGATGCAATGAGTATTTAAGACACAATTTGTTTTTTGTTTTTTTTTTTTTTGGTTTTTCTCCGGTACCAGGAACCGAACTCAGGACCTTGCGCCTGCCAGGCAGGCGCTTTTGCCGCTGAGCTAAATCCCCAGCCCCGAGACACAATTTGTTTAGTCCAGGCCAAAAGTAGTGTTTCTCAAAGTGTAGTCTCAGGGACTGTCATCATCCTAGGTTCCATCCTGGCGTAACAAATAATCTCTGAAGTGATTTGCAGGCATACAATAATTATGTCCTTGTTTGATACAAAGATTTGAAAAAAACAAAACAAAACAGTTCTATAGCATGGTGAGCTACTGTAACGACACACTGGCTCATGGCATGGTGCGACTCTGCCTGGAAGGGGTTGTTATAGACAGCTAAGTTATATAGAAATATTATAGGCAGTCAGACAGGGCTAGGCCTTCAAAAGAATCAGTGCAGAAGATGGGATACACTGCACCTGTTGGGAAGACACAGACACATCCCTCAAGTGCCAGACTTCAAGACAAAAGATAAAATGAATGCAGCCACATATTTCCCCTAAGGATAAACACAGTGACTGATATTCTAAATAGGTATCCATCACCTTGGGAAAGCCTGGAAGAGCCACTGATCTACCCTCTCTGGGAAAAGGTCCTGTTCTATTTCAAGCCTGCTTGCTACAGTGACTTGCTTCTGCATTTGATCCCCATTTAATTAACATTACCTGAGCAATTATGTTCATAATCTGCAAGTGTGGTGGCACAAACCTGTAATCCCAGCATTTGGGAGGCTGAGGCAGAAGGATCACCATGAGCGAGGCCAGCCTGGGCTACAAAGTGAGTTCAAGGCCAGCCTGAAATGCATAGTGAGACCCTGTCTCAAAAAGACAAGAAACAAAAGAATGGGGGTGGAGGGCGCTGGGGATATGGCTTAACAATGCAGCACCCGTCTGGCAAGTGTGAGATCCTGAGTTTGATTCCTGGTATCCCCACCCACCTCCACCCCCACTCCAGCCACCAAATTATGCTCGGAATCTTATTGTCTCACCTCAGGCCCACCTTGTAATTTCCCACTTTTCCCTACCTTGGACCCACCTCACCTCATGGTTTTGCTCTATAAAAATCCCTTGAAAAGACAGGAAGGATCTTCTGGCAAACCACTTGGGACCCCTTCTGTCTCTCTCAGATAGAAGTTTTCTTTCCCCAGTAAATATATTCTGCTCTTAACCTCCATTGTTTTTTTGTTTGTTTGCTTTGTTTTTGTTTTCCTTCCAGTACCGAGAATCGAACTCACAACCTTGAGCTTGCCAGGCAGGTGCTGTGCCGCTGAGCTAAACCCCCAGCCCTTAACCTCCATTGTTCCTAGAATTCATTCTTTGGTTTTAGAGAACATGAACTCATACTGGACATCTTAGTAGGTTGGGAGTTTCTTTCCCCTTTATCAGGATTGCAGCAGCCTAGGAGCTGAGCTACAAAGGTGGAAAGCATTTGGCTGACATGGGGTAGTGAGTGTATCAGTGGTTAACTTGCCTGTTAGCTCCAAAATGACTCTTTAACACATGCTCTGGACAAAATGACAGAGCTTTTTGAAGCATTTCTCTTTACAGTGAGCCCAGTCTAGAGGCTTTCTCAGTAGAGAGCACTTGAGGGACACTGCAGGAGGAAAGGGATCCCCTGCTGTTTGAGGCAGCTGCACTGGAAGTGGTCAGCAAATGGGTGAGGGGCCACTGGTGATAGTTACAGCCATAGGCCCAGCTTGGGCAGCCTTTCAGCAACCTTGTAGCTCCGGCAGTCACCTTCCCAGGGCCCTCTCAATACAGACACACTGCTCTCCAAGCCTCTTGCTACTAGCCCCACCCCTAGCCTCATCTCTGTTGATCCTCCTAATAACATGGCCTTCCATACCAGTAAACCATGAACTCAGGCCTGTTGCACGGATACCCCACTTCTATGCCCAGGCATCAGTATGCCCCAGAGGGTTACACTAGGGCTCCAGCTTCCTGTGTGCCAAACAACTGGCAAAGGGCTGATAGCTACAGTTTGCCTGGGTCTTGCCAGTGCTCCTGCTGGAATGAAACACAGGGATCCAGGGGGACTTTCTGCTGCCCAGCACTGTGGGTCGTCCCATGGGCTCTACTCTGCTATCCAGTGGGCTGCAACTACACTTTCTTCAAAGAATGCACATCCTGACTTGGGGAGGAAGCTTCCTTCCAAGTCAGTCCTTCTTTGGGTATTCTCCTTTATCTTGGGCTCCATATCCCCCCCCCCCCCCCTTTTTTTTTTTTGGTCTTTTTGAGACAGGGTCTTGCTGTGCAGTTCAGGCTGGCCTTGAGCTCAATTTGTAGCCCAGGCTGGTCTCGAACTCGCAACGATCCTCCTGCCTCAGCCTCCCGAGTGCTGGGATTACAGACGTGCGCCACCACGCCCGGCCATATCCCCTTTTTTGTCCCTCTGACTCTCCCTCCTTCAATTTCCCTTTTCGTTTGTGGTACTGGGGGTTGAACCTAGCTAGGGCTTTCTACCCTGAGCCCCAGCCCCAGCCCCAGCTCTTCCCTTTCTCTCGCCTTTCCTTCCTTTCTGTTTTGAGACAGGGTCACCAGGCAGGTCTTGAACTTTGTATCCCTCTGCCTTGGCCTCCAGAGTAGCTAGGATAATACATGTGTACCATCATGCTCAGCTGGAATTTATTCTTAATTTAAAACGTATTGTACATGCATAAGGAATTTTGACCTGATATGTTTGTACATATTTAAATGCTATTGTAATAAAAATAATTTAAACTGGTATGGAGTACAGTGAGTGTAGGCGGATGTCTTTGTGAATACTTTTCTTTCAAAACAGTGTTTCTCAGTCTTTAGAGTCAGACACTTCCAAGACCAAGCTGTAATCTTCTCAATGATATCTCTGGAAATGGAACTCAGACATCAGCAGTACCGAAAGCTTCCCAAACACTCCAATTTCAGCCATGGTTGAGAAACACTGCTTTTATAAGAAGGTCTGCATTCATAAAGTACGAAAACTCATTATTCACTATCTTAGATAATACTTTCCAGGAATATTTTCATGGTAAAAGGTGGAGAGACACTGAGAGATTTGCATTTTCAACATTGTATAGTGCAGGTAACCCTTGGGAGTGATGGGTTGTGCTATAACCATGAAACTGCAGGTTCACACCCAGGGAGGCAGTGACACACCAAAACTAGTTCAACAGGCGCTGCCCATGACACTGGTGTATTTCCTTAACCTACAGCAGCATGAAACCCTTAAATTCACAGAATAAAATTAATGAAGTAGGCAAGTATATGGTACATTTAAAAAGGGTATTCAATAAGCCCAATGGTATTCACTTGCAAATTAAATGAGAGCCAGCCATTCCCTAACAATACAGTTAAGGTTTTACTATATTAGTAAAAAGAAGTGTAAATAATAAGCCCTTATAGCCACAAGACAGCTTACATTTTCCTGCTGTGTGCTCATGATTATGACACAGCATCATTCAGATGTTAGCTCTTTAGTAAAAGCTTTATCTAATTTCCCCCTAGGTAGCAGTAATTGTTTCTACCTGTAACTGTTAGTGTATAACTTCTTTCATTTTTCATTAATAATTTTGAACATTAACATCTAATCACATTTTCACTTTATGAAGTAATTCGTGTGTACAGAAAAACACACATGGTACAAAAAGATGGTTAATGAAGAGGAAAACTGGGTCCTTTCCCAATGACCATAGGCTTTCCCCTTAGAGGCAACACATACTAACACAGTTTCTTGGATGTCTTTAAGAAAATGTTCTCTAGCTGGGTAGTGATCCATTCATAGAGTCTCAGCTGAATCAAGAGGATTATGAAGTCAAGTCCAGTAAGACAACACAGTGAAGTCCAATCTCAAACAAAACCTCTTTATATGGCCATGTGCCCATCTTCTTTTGTTTTTTCTCCTTGGTTTTTTGAGACAAAGTCCCACTATGTAGGTCCAAGCTGGTCTCAAACTTGCAATCTTGCCTTAGCCTCCTAAATGCTGGTATCTATGTTTAAAACAAAAAACAAATGGGAGTATACTATTCACTCTTTCCTGCATTGTTTTATCTTCACTTAATGATCTACTCTAATACATATGGGAAGACTCAGCTCCATCACATGTCTACATAATATACTGTACATTGGTTGCTATTTCTTGAAGTAGCAATTTGAGATCTTAATGGTGTAGTTTCTACAATGATAGATGTGAATTTGCCCCTTACATCAATACCCCTATTTTCAGTTAAATCAAATAGCATCTGCTTTATAAGAATATAAATTTTCACTATGAGCTATGTAGTATACTGTGATTATTTTTTACTTTTTGTGGAGCTGTTTAAGTTCCTAATTGTTTTTCTTTTCCTTCTGCACTATGCTTATGTTTGTGATTTTATACCTTTCTGTCCACCTGCAGTTTGAAAAACAGGCCCTCTTGAATATCCTTTGCAGAATTCCTTCTCCTAGTCCAAAGGAGTGAAGAGTACCTCTGCTATAATTTTGACAATCTATAGTAATACCCTTGTAGAAAATAATTTAAGTGTGATAAAATGTTACACACAATTCACCCTTTTAAAAAAACATTTTAAGCATACAGTTCATTAGTGTTATATTTACCTTATGGTGCAACTAGAACTCTAACCTGGCAAAATGCAATCTCTGTTTCTATGAAACAACTCCATTTCCCCCTTCCCAGCCTTCGGGAG